AGTAAAAATGATGCTAGGAGCTGAGGGGAAGCCAGTTTACAGAGAAGTGGCAACATTTTTCTTCCTCTTTATTGTGTTAAGCAGAAAAGTTTTTCAGAGAAGTAACATTTACTTTACACTTCAATGTGCCTATTTTATTTTATTTTTACTCATTTGTGGGGGCACAGTGTGATAAGTTCAGTCTTTTAAATAGAGATCAACTGTAAGGAAAATTGTAAAGACACAAATATTACACTGTAATGTTTCATCTTCTACTAAACATCATCATAAGAAATTGCTGGCAGTCGAAGACCCAAGTTAAAAACAGCTGGTTGTGCTTCTTAGTAGTATCAAGGAGGAACACTTAACACTTGATACTTTCTTGAACTCATGATGGAAAAAAATTGTTTCTCTAACAATGCACACCTCTTTTTAGAGGAAAAAGCTCTGCAGAAAAATAAAAAGGCATGATTCCCAAGGATGGTCGTTAAATCTACCTGTCCCATTTCCTACTCTGTGTTTACCTATCATCCATTTCCTACTCTAAGTTTGCCTATCGCAGGCTTACAGTTGGGATCCTTCTTCTTATGTGATTGAGCAGAGATCTCAGAATTCAGAAAACTGCCCCGTGAAAGTGTAACACAGCAGGGTGCTATTGGGTAAAGGAGAGGCAAAGGAATTCTTTTTTCTTTTTTTAAAGGAATTCTTGGTGTAATTCTCTTCTCAATTATAAATGTGGTTTTTGAGCTCTTAATCCCCCAAAAGTTAGCTGGACTTTGTTTTGTTTTAGAGTGCCATTACTTAAAAATCAGATCTAAAAGCTAGGAATGTTGAGGGAGAGAATTCTGGATGTCAGAGGATGGATTATGGATCAGCAGGATCCAAGAGTTGGAAAGACGGAATGTCAGTACCCATCCACATTTTTTAATACCTAGTGTTAATAGGATCCCCAGCCAACTCACACCCACATTGACACTTGAGAAACGCTGGCCTAGAAGATCTGCAGTTACTGGAAAACTTTGGGAAGGTGGCAGCACTTCCATTACACCTGAAATCAGAGAGCCCATTGTGGACAACAGTGTGTAAATGTCCAAGAGCAAAAGAAAACATCCTTATGAATAAATGACACTCATAATAGCCCGTCAGGTGATCTGTTAATTATTTTAGTGCATATTTGTGCATTCTACAAATGAATTGTAGGAAAGAAGAAAGGAAAGAAGGAGGTAGTGAGGAAATGAAGGAAGGAGGGAAAGGAAGGGAGCGGAGGGGAAAGGGAAAGAATAAAGGGGGAAAGGAGGGAAGAAAGGAAGGGAGGGAGGGAGGAAGGAAAGAGGGGAGGGGAAAGGAAGGGAGAGAAGGGAGAAAGAGAAAGAAGAAAGGAGGGGACGGGAAGGGAAGGGAAGGGAAGGGAAGGAGGGGAAGGGAAGGGAAGGGAAGGGAAGGAAGGGAGGGGAGGGGAGGGGAGGGGAGGGGAGGGGAGGGAAGGGAAGGGAAGGGAAGGGAAGGGAAGGGAAGGGAAGGAAGGAAGGGAAGGGAAGGGAAGGGAAGGGAAGAAGAAAGGAAGGAAGGAAGGAAGGAAGGAAGGAAGGAAGGAAGGAAGGAAGGAAGGAAGGAAGGAAGAAAGGAAGGAAGGAAACAGAAAGCTGGCAAGTTTGGTTTCTTTCTTTCTTTCTCTTTTTTTTTTTGGATCATACATCAAGAAGTCTTTTACTTATGGAACCTGTGGTTTGAGCCCTTCCCCTACTGCTATCCCAGGCCCACCACTTCCCTCCTACTTCCTCTAAAACCATAAAATTGTTAGCACAGAATAAGCTATCTGGCACACATAAAAGTATAAAACTTTATATAAGATCACTAGGTAGTACCAGTAGTTGCATTGAAGTGGTGCTATTTTAAGGCACAGAGGTAGAAACGGGACAGTCAGTGGTCTGTACAATAATCAGGATGTGAAGATTTGGCTAAAATCATCCAGAGCACAAGAACAGATGATCTGAAATGCATACAGGGGAAACTGTTGCTGGCTCATAATTTAGGAAGAAATATTCACAGGGAATACACTAGCCACACAGGATACTTTCTCTGATACTCCCTAGCACCATACTGGTTCACGAAGAGAAAGAGCAGACACAACATATGAAAGGGATGTGGGATGTAGGAGATGGAGGAAAGAATAACAGATTCATTGTCTAAATAAATGAAAGGGAAATGAGTTTGGTGTGGGATGTGTTTTCACATCCATAAAATATAAGGCAAAATAACACAAACTTTACTTAAGCTAAGAAAAAAAGTTGGATTGGAAATGAAGGATCAATTCTCTACAAAAAGAACACTTGAGTCCATCACTAGGGGCTACAGATGGCCTACATAGGGTGGAGTATTTCTGGTCCAAGCGTACGTGATCAAACTTCACATTTTGTATATTCCTTCTGTTGTGTTATCTCCTGTTCAAGACACTGCACAAGAACAGCAGAGAACATCAGTCAACCTGAGTGCCTTTACTAAGCATGATTTTGCAAAACTGGGAATAGACTCCTGAAATGTAACAGACATCTCTCTAGGCCACAGCAGAAGATGTGAGGAGACACCACCAGTTCTAACAGTTCAGGATTTAACTTCCTGCAGACTTTCAGTTTTGTGCTTTGATTCTGAAAACAAAACACCATTCTATAAGCTCATCTTCCAAAGTATAGCATGCAATTCTACTGGAAAACATTCCCTACCAGCATCTAAATTCACAACAATGAGAAGGTTCAATTATTGAAAATCTGAAAAAAGTAAATTAGCACTCGATTATTTAAAAAGTGGTGTAGCCAGCACAGCGGCAAACTGTAAAAATTATAACTCAGCCCAATATTTCCATCAGGGAAAGGCATATATTCTAAGACAGATGCCTGTAAATCTCACCAGAGTTCATTGGTTTGAAATTTCCTCTGCATCAGGAAATTGTATTAAGCACAAGAAGGCAGCAGCATGGGAGGGACTGGATTTCTGGCCTGAGATTCTGATGTGAGGAAGCCAGAGCCGGACACACGCACACTTAAAAACTGTCTAGGCTGAATCATTCTGTACAGACAGATAAAGAAGTCTTAAGATCCCCTTGCTCAGAGACTGAAGAGCACTTACTTACCATGATTACCACCAATCTAACAGTAATGCAGGGAGGAACACATGTTCTTCTCTAAAATCCATTATCACCAAATATTTTCAAGAATTTTTGGTTTGTGTTGCAAAGTGAATCAATTAAGTGGCAAAAGGAGTTACATTTATGTTTATTTAATTAGTAACAGTAACTTTTGACACAATGCTACTATGTCTCAGTTACAAACAGCATTAAGCATGAATTTTCCCTAAAACTTCTTCCAGAAAACATTTATGCAGGACTACCTATTTGGCTGTGCCTGTAATGATGAGCAAGCTGGTTTAGACAAAACCTGCTTCACTGTCTCCTTTCTAAGGGGCAGAATTGATGTGCAAGGGTAATTTTTAAACAAAGCTCTTCTGTGCTCTGATGCAAACTTTCTTGTTACATGTGACCTAGCACTATTCTCTTTTAAATACAGCTCATTTTTATTTCAGATTTTGATTTTATGAATAACAACTTGCAAGAAAAAAAAAAACCACCACTCATTTGCCACTCAGTATAGAATTAGTTTAAATTCATCTCCATTAAAAGATCCGTATTTGTGAGACTTAAACACCTTATTTCAGCTCTTCAGTCACAGATGATCTGGGAATACCAAAGAGGCATTGTGACTTAGATTTGGAAGTTTGACTTCAAATTAATCAGATTTGAATGATGTTCCAACTTCCCCCTAACTGAGATGGAAAATGATAGCTCCGTAGGAGGGCAGCCTGGTAAAATGCAGTTACCTAAACTGCCCTTTCAATTTTTTGCCTCTATTCTTCATATTATAGGAAAATGGTGTTATTGCCTGATTAACTGAAAAAGCATACAAAAATCTTGCCTCCTGCATTTCAGCCAGTCTTCAGCTAGAGAGGAACAAAGCCAGACCATCTGCTCTGAAGGCCATTGCTTCTTTGGCCATTTGGGAAAGGGAGCTTCCTTCTTCGCTTCAAAAACAGATTTAAGATGGACATGAAATAAGTAGACAGAATGAGACCTCTGAATAACCAGCATTTTCCAGTGAGAGCCCCATTTGTTGGGATTTTAGCATTTCTTACACGAGCCCCATTTATTGGGTTTTCATCATTACCATCTTTTTAATTTTCTTTCTGATCACAGAGTTAATCTACCATGTCTCCATTTTACAAACGATTTCACCGGAAAACTTAATCTCAGAGTTTCTACAGTCAACATTTAGGAAGGTAAAGGGAAGTGTGGGTGAATATGAGTCACCAGACACCCTTCCCTCCCCTCCCCACCCCCAGCTCCCCGCTTCGCTTCCTGGTGATTCTCCATTGGAAAATCAGAAACCCCGGTTGAGCTTGCATTTGTTTTTTTCTCGAATTATACTACGCCTCAGGCAATGTTAATTTCCTGAACTAAACAGCCTCGGTAATCCGCTGAAAGGCAGCTGGCTAACTGCTGGTGTCTGGCAAGTGCCCCATCTGTCCCTGAGCCTAGGTCTCGCCTTCCTGCCTTTACTTTCCCTTTTTCCCTTTTTCCCAGTCTGACATCCCTTTTGTTTTCTGGGGTGTCTTTTGCTTGAACTTTCCTTCCCATGCCTGTAAACTTGAGCTCTTCCACTCTACCCTGTGGACCTCAGGCTTTGTCTAAGTGTGCACTGGAGTTACCGCACCGGCTGGTGATGGTGGAGATGACGACGCTGATGGTGGAGATGGGTGAGATGGAGCAAGGAGCGCAAAGCAGACCCGGCTCGGGTTGGAGGATGGACCTCAGGGATGGTGGTGTGGGGCGCACCAGGGAGAGTGCGGAGAGATTGCAGATGGGAGCTGTCCGCGCACCCAAGTGCTGAAACACCGCAGCCATGGCTCCGCCGGAGCGGGGAAAGGTGGGGAGGCGCTGCAAACACAGAAGGAAGAAAAAAGGCAACAAATACCTTCACTCGGCCGCCCCGCTTTGCTTTGGGAATGTGTTCCTGCAGGTGTCCTCGCTGCTGAACTGGGTGGGTGAGATCCCCTATTCTGGCAGGTGCCGGTTCAGATTTCTCTAGAAGCTGTGAATGAGAACCTGGCTCCACGGGGCTGGGATTTTGGTAGGAGGCGTGCGCTGGAGACTCGGTCCTTCAATATCCAGCCTGGCTTTCCCCTGGGTCCTAAATGCCTCCGCACGTTGCTCTCCCACTTACCAACAAGACAGTGCCAGACCATTGTAACCATTGTAACCATCTGCAGCTAAGTACCAGAATTTTCACTCCCCACACAATCTTTAAAAGCAGAACGGATTAGTGTAACACATCAAACAGCAGTGTGTGTGTGTCTGTAAATGTGGCATATGAGAAAGTAGCCAGAAACATCGGGGAAAAACATATTACTTTATTTATAAGTCGTGTTAAGAAAATGAGCTATTTGAAGAGACTCAAATTAAAGCCTCATATTATAAAAATTACACAGTACTCAAAAAAAATTCAAAAACCATAAATTTCTGGGCACAGGAGAAATAGAAACAAGACAAAATATCAGTATTTGGGATAGATACAAAAATGCGTCTAAAAATCAATACATCATAATATGTAACTACAAATGATAATCCTGGGAAAAATGAAACAGATGTATTTCCATGCGTAAATATATCATAAATCAAAAGAAAAAGCTAACACTCGGAAAACAGGACAGAGTAAATAACAAATTCACAGAAGAAAGAGGAACATGTAATAAACATATTTGTAAACTAAAGTCAACTTCCCCACCAAACAGAAACACCTTAAAATAACCAAGGGTAGCAACCCTGTAGCCTAAGATCAATTAGCTTAAGTAGCTTAAGACCAGTTAAGAATCCCACATACCACATCAGAGCTCCTGACTCCCCATCTCAGCTTCCTAACATGCATACCATGGCTCAAATTGTCTTATGCCTATCATGGACAGGAGATGTGAATGAAGACCCTGCCTTTAAGCTTTCTCCACTGTGGTCACTGAGGGCCTTTGAGGAATGAAGCTACAGAAGGTATCTCCTTTCTCTCTCTCTCTCCCTCTCTCGCTCTCCTTCTGTCCCTCTCTCCTGAATGAACACATTTTTAACCATCAAGTAAATCCTAAAACTAGCAGCGAGGTACAATTTTGGCTGAAGTTTTAAATCACATTTAATATTCTTGAGATAATAGTAAAAAAAAAAATCACAATCTTTATGCATGGCTATTTCACAAAACTCGTCATGGCCTAAAATTTATTTATTTATTTATAACTAATAATTTACTTTTCTATCACCTTACACAGGTTATTTATTGAAATACATGGACAGAAAAATATTTCTGAATATAAATTTAATTTATAGTCAGAGAAACCCTCAAGAACTAATCAAAGCACTGCATTTTTATGTAAGCTATAATATTTGAATCCATTAAAATATGTATTTTTAATCTGTTATTTATCTATTATTATTATTATCATTTTATGATACAGCTCCATAGGTCCCTGGGATTTCCCTTATCCCCTTCCCCAACCTCCCCACTCACTAGTTCCTCTATATCATTACTAAATTATAGTTCTTCATACACAGTTATATGTCAATCACTGCGGGTATAAACAATGGCAGAGAGTCCAGCACCCTATTGTCAAGATAGAGAAAACAGTTTCATTGGGAGTCCATCTTTGTCTGGAAGTAAAGACGCATACTGCATTGTATCCTCACATCTGGTGTGATAGTCTCCATTTCAGTTACTGTACATCCCTTTAAATGAAAAGTCATAATACAAAATCAACAATAGGAAGAAAAGTAGAAATTTACAATGCCATGAAGTTAAATAACATGTTACTAGATATGACAGTCCCCATTACACAGCTACTATACATCTCCTTAATTGAAAAGCCACAAAACAAAATTAACAACAGAAAGAAAAAAGAAATTAACAACACCATGAAGTTAAATAACATGCTACCGAATGACTAATGTGTCACTGAAGAAATGAAAAATAAAGTGAAGAAAAAACATTTTTTTAAAGACATTTTATTTTTTATTGGAAAGGCGGATATACAGAGAGGAAGATCTTCCATCCAATGATTCACACCCCAAGTGGCCACAAAGGTGAAACTAAGCCAATCTGAAGCCAGGAGCCTAGAGCCTGCATCGAGTCTTCCATGCAGGTACAGAGTACCAAGGCCCTGGGCCATCCTAGACTGCTTTCTCAGGCCACAGAAGGGAGCTGAATGGAAAGCGGGACCACTGGAACATGAACCAGCACCCATATGGGTTCCTGGCACATGCAAGGCAAGGACTTTAGCTGCTAGTATACCACACCAGGCCCTGTGCTTTTCTTTACTGTGGAAGAATTTTATTTCATATTCAAAGACAAGGATAAGTTATTCTGGGCTGACAATTTTTCCCCCCCTTTTTTTTTAAAAATTTTTTCCGGTTTGAATCTGGAATATGTCACACCATTGTCTTCTGGCCTGTAGAGTTTCCTCTGAGAGGTCACCAGTGAGTCTGATTGGGTTTCTTCTGTATATTAATTGATTTTTAATGTGCATATTGAAGGATCTTTTCCCTGTGTTTAACTAAGAGAGTTTGATTATGTGTTGTTTATTACATTTCTTCTGAAAAGTTTATTTTAGTATTTGAAAGACAGAGTGACAAAAAGAGGTAGACAGAGAGAAAGAGGTTCCTGTCTGCTGACATACTTCTCAGATGAAGTATGGTACTGGGTCAGGCCAGGTCCAGAAGCCCAGAACTCCATCCAGAATGCTGACATTTGTGTCAGGGGCCCAAATACTTAGAGACTGACTTGTGCTAACACCTCAGGCTCATTCGCAAGAAACTGGATTCCTACAGAAGTTGAGACTTAAAGTGGCACTCTAATAGCAAGAGTACTGTCATGACAGCCAATTAACTTACTTTGCCACAACATGGGCCCCTGTCTTATATTTCAGAAAGACTTTAAAGTTACCAGAATTTTTCATTATGGTCTCTCTGTTCGATAGAAGGTAAGTAGCATGTGGCAGAGAACTCATCTGTTTGTTGATTACTGCTCCCCGAGCACTTAGAAGTGTTCCTGGAACATTACATGAGTTCAATAATTATTCATTGAATGAAAGAATAAATATGTGAATGATGCAATCCACACACACACATACATACAGATGATTTAAGATACTTGACAACAATATGAATTTTACATGAAAATCTATCTGTAAATACATGGTGCACTGAAATGATGTGAGGTTCATGCTGAGCTTTGAACACATAAACTCAAATGGGCATCTTTGAGGTAAAGCTGATCATTGGCAAAACTTGTAAGGTGGCATGATATATGAATTCTTTAAAAGAAAAAGTTTTCTCCAATTAATTACAACTGTAATCTCTTCATATACTCCTGATCTTGATCATTTTAAAAAGCAGAGTTTTCTTTTCTTTTGCTTTTCTATTTCTACTTATAGAAATAAAAAACAACACCAAAACTTAATTGTTTCAGAAATCTATCATTTATTTAAAAATCTCTTTTTTGAAATTTAAAATGTACTTCAATACCTTTGCTTAAACAATGCTCCCTTTCAATTATTCTTCACTGTTTCAGGAAAGTAGAAACAGAAAAATTACAAATTGAGGAAAGTGTAATGATACCACAGAAGGAAACTAAATCCAAATTACAAAGAATGTCATTTTTATGGACCATAAATGGAAGCATAGTCTTGGGCTATCATATATCAGAAAATGCCCTGTACCTTGAAGCAGGTATAAAGGGTTTTATAGACAAAGGTGGTCCATTGCTATCTCTAAGGCTGTTTTCTTAAGAAATGTCCACATTCCAAACAGCAGATAACAATGACACATTATCTTAATGGCTCTGTTTGTCCCATAGGATATGAGACACCTGTCAGAGTCGGCTAAAGCTCAAAGGGTTGCCCTTATATCACACTGTATCCCGACACCTCACTACTGATATTGCCTTTAGTTTTATCTGCCAAGTTTTATCTGTATTTTCTAACCAGTGAGGTATAAGAAATTTAATATGATATATGGGTTATAAATATATGTAATATGTAATTCTTGTATATGGAGAGTCATGTACTGCATAATAATGAACTGCTCTATATGACAGTGGCCTCTTATGATTGTATAGCCTAGTAATCTTTTATCTGTTACCTGCACACTTATGTTTTTATTTACATATATCACAAAAAATTCCAACATGTTAATTCACTTTTGCTGTTAAGAGTTCAGAGTTAAAATATATGTGTGGACTGTGCTGTGGCATGTAGGCTAAGCCTCCTCCTGTTGTGCTAGCATCGCATATGGACTCTGATGAGTGTGCCAGCTGCTCCACTTCCTGTCCAGCTCCAGGCTTATAAATAATGAAGGATAGGTCCTTGGGCCCCTGCACCCACATGATAGACCCAGAAGAGGCTCCTGGCTTATGACTTCAGATTGGCTCAGCTCTAGTCATTGTGGTCATTTGAGAAGTGAACCAGTGGGTAAAACACCTCTCCCTTTGTGTCCCTTTTTCTCTGTAACTGTGCATTCCAGATTTTTAAAAAATGCATAAACAAGATGTTTAAAAGTCAATTTTACTTATGATTAGAGCACATATACTAAGTAGATCTAGTAAAATATTCTCTTTTTCTCAAAAGGCCAATAAAAGTTCATGAATATGATCCCCATGGTATCTCTGATAGGACTCGTTTGGTCATGCCATTTAAAATTTCTTCGCTAGAACAACTGTGCTTTACTGAGTAGTCAGGCATTCATTGTGTTGAGTTTTTCTTTTTGTTTCCTGGGACTCAGAATATCTTTGCTCAAAGCTTTTTCCTGATAACACAAACCAAGATTCTTTCTTCTCTTACCCTGACTGACATTGTGCTAAGATTATGCACATTCTGCTCAGCCTCCACTTCAGCTCCTTTCTCTGCAGCTGCCTACGTATTTGTTTGCCAGAACTCCTCCTTGCACCCCTTTGTGCATAAGCAGTGAATGACAAGGCCAAAAGCGAGGCCTGCTCACAAGCATATTTCCTGCTGCCTGACCTTGTGCCTGTCATGCCACTGTCAGCTACTGTCAAGGATTCTGTTAATTTGGAGTTTCCTGTAATGTAGATGTAGATTATGAAAAGGT